GGTGCCAAGAAGAGTGTGTAATTCATAGTGTTATAGATTTGAATAATGTCAATGTTGGGAAAATGTTTTGGGGTTGTAGGAATTACAGAAATCAATTAGAGAAGGGATGCAATTTTTTCAAGTGGGTTGGTGATGAAGTTGTTGATGGAAGAGATTTGAAGATTTAAAAGTAAAGGAAGAAAATATTCAAGTTGAAGAATGATATTTTGAGCATAAGAAGAATGTTGAAAAATGAAATTGTGTTTGGCATTGTTAGTCTAGGGTTTAATTTAGTTTTTGTAACCATGTATTTCAAATAGATATGTGAAAGTATGTAAGATTGATGTTATGAAAATATGTAATTTAGTTATGAAAGTGTGTAAGATTGATGTTACTTAAATGAAATGAGTTCAATGATATAAGTGGTATTAGTGATTCCCCCTTACTGTTATGTATTATTTAGTGGTATGTAATGTTGCAAAAGGTTTGTAATGATGCAGAAGGTTGATTAAAGTGAAACAACATTATTACATGAGGGAATTAATTGAAATAATGGAATAAAACAGGGTCTGGTTTTTTTATTTGGTTCTATTTTATTTGTACATGTAAGTAGTTTTGTGTTGAATTATGTGAATAAGTAGTTGATGAATATTGTTTTACCAAAATATTTTGCATTATAAAAGCATATGTTCTTTGACACTAATAATGTGTTCATTGACACCAAGTTACAAAAGAGCATATGTTCTTTGACACTAATAATGTGTTCATTGACACCAAGTTACAAAAGAGCATATAAGCCTAGTTATGTGTTCATTGATACCAAGTTCCAAAAGGGCATATAAGCCTAATTATGTGTTCATTTCCACCAAGTTACAAAAGGGAAAAACATGAAAATGACTCAAGTTGTAGTATCCTCAGGCTGATTTGCTGCAAGATGATTTGCTACAAGATGAGTTAGTGGAGGCTGACTTCCTTCAGGCTGAGTTGCTTCATGCTGACTAGGACCAGGCTGAAGTGGTTCAGGTTGAGTTATTTAAGTTGGTGCTGGTAGTTTACGGGTTGATTTATTGTGCCCTATCATGTGGCATCTACTGCACTTGATGCCAAAGTTAGCTCTCTTTAGCTGAGTTTCATCCCTTATACTCTCAAATGCATCTTTGTTCCTCTTCTTCTTTGGCCTTCTTGGTTGCCTTTTGATTGGTGGTGGTTGTAGTTCAACATATTATTTTTTTTCTCCCAAAGATTTTCCCCATTCACTGGAAAAATAAAGGGTGCATGGCATGCCTCATAGAGTTGTTTTTGTAGCAGTCAGGCACATAATTTTCAATTTCCAGTTGTTGTGATTTCATGCAAGATATTGCATGACAACATGGTAAACCTGTTAACATGCATCTCCTACAAAAACACACCTTGGTGGACAGATTCACAACATATATTTCTCCATTATATGAGATGTGTATCACCTCATAATCAAACTCACATGCACACCAGTTTAATATAACAAAATTCAGTCACAAAACTTAATGGTAAATTTGCATAACACATATGAAAATGAACAAATACCTCACAATCCAACTGTTTGTTTTGTCATATTCCTTTGAAATCTTTTTCTTAATATTGGGTAAAACACCAACTTTAAACTTGGAAATTTTTTTGTCTGTTTGACTCCCACCTTTGCATGAGATACACCTTGATTTCTTCAACCATTGTTATGCTTGGCTTGGCCCTAGCTGTGACAAACACAGAGTTGAAAGCCTCGGACATGTTGTTCACCAAGGTATCACATAATGGATGTGTCTTGAAGAAAGCCTTGCTCCGATATCTAGTTGGTAGTCTTATTAAATGCTTGAATGCATTTTCATTTCCAAAAATCAGGATCCACATCCCAAGTTTTCTCTAACCCATTATAACCTAATTTCGTTAACTCGACAAACCCACCCCCGTGATGAACAATGCACACAAAAAGACTATCCATGACCTAGAAACGGAATATGAAAATCCCTAAGTGAGAAATACAGTTAAGAAAGATAAAACCTTAACAACTTGCATTATTCATACCTTAATGAAGATGACCGAAGATGATGGAATATCTTCTTGTTCCTCTCAAGTATAAAACCCTAAAATTGAAGATGACCCAAGTATCAGAAGAGAGGATGAACGTAAATGTATGAAACGATATAAGTTAACAATGGAGATGAAGATGGAAAAAGTTAACCTTTGAGAACGAAGATGATGATGGAAGATTATTTTGCGAACGAAGAAGAGGATGAAAGATAGCTACAATAGCGTTTTCTAAAAGAGTTCAGATGAAGAAGTGAAATGAAAATGAAAAATGATGGGTTAAATTAAATGATTAGAATTCACTTATTTTTATTCAAAATGATTTATCATAAATCCATGTCACTTAAGGATGCCCAGCTGGATTGCCGCGCTAGCAAAAACTAACGAAAATATATAATTTTTAGCAGAAATAATGATATTGGTTAACAGAATTACAAATAAGGGACATGGAAGTAACGTTTATTACATAAGGGACTGAACTAAAACCTAAAATAATGTTAAGGGACCAAAAGATGTATTAAGCCTAAAATAAACTTATTTTAAGCATACTTTATAGTTTTTAGAATTGTGGTTGAACTTAAATTAATCTTAAAAATAAAGTGAGAATTTTTTTCACTTAAAAATATATTTTTCCACCTTATATTATCAGATGCGAGACACTTACAAGAATTCGATAATAAGTGATACAATGGATCTTAAATTTAATTCTAGTATCTTCTTAAAATTGTGGATTGACCCAATTTAATCTACAAAACAAATTTGTAAGATGAAAATTATCTTCAACTCATTACTACGTATTCATGTCATATATTAACAAGAATCCTTACCTTATTGTAGCATCAAAAGTAGATAACACATCATATAGGACAACAAGTCACAAAGAAACTTGAAGAACAATTGTTGCAACTATATTTAACAATTTCTCATCTCACCTTTGTTATATGAGGTGTACCCTTGAAATTCCAGAAATGCCCTTGGATAAATTTGGAGATACAAATCTGAACGCACCCTTCATAAAACAAGCATCAAATTAGTTCAGATATGCATCTATAAATTCACCCTGGATTAATTCGGAGATGCATATCCGAAAACACTCTTGAACTCATGTATTACGCATTTTCATTGAAATTGGCAGTTGTCGTGAACTGTCTGTCAATTTTTACCAATATTAGAGTCATAGGAAATATATCCCCGTATTCTGGCCTTTACGCGACCTAACGTAAGAAATTCAGTTTTTTGGAAAATCGACTCTAAATTCCTTGTTTTTCTATTTGATTTATTTTCCGTTTTCATATTTTCGAAAAAATCCAGAAAATTTTGTAGACACTTAATTTGATTTTAGTTATATTTTCATATTTTTATAATTTTATTTTAATCGCTTTTCTATTTTCTAATTATTTTTCTCAATAAGAAAATTGTTGATATTTACATATTTGTTGCATTACTGATGCATGGTTAGTAGGTGTGCCGATTCAGATACATTAAATATAAAGTTTTAAAAAAAACACAACGGTAAACTTTTCGGATATACACATTCGAATTTACTATTTTTCCTAAAAAATATGATTTATTCGGAGATGCATATCCAAAAATACTTTTTTCGTAAAAATAAAATTTATTCATATGCATATCCAAAATTAAATATTTTATAAAAAAATAGATGTTTAAATATACATCTCTAAAAAAAAGAAACTTTATTATAATTTTACGCAGCATCTGAAAAAATGTATAAAAATGCTAAATTTAGCAAATGATCGAAGTTGTGAATATATTCATCCATTGTCAAATTTTAAGGTGGATAAGTTTGATAGAAATTTACGAAACAATGACTTAATTAGTGATTGGGAGTTGGGACCACTTTGGGAAAAATGAATATAATAATGAATGTTTCAAAAACTCAACTCATAATTTTGTTAGCATCTCCATGAAAACAATGATGATTGTGAATTTCTACCTCTAAAAGATGGCAGCAATTATATGTTTCAAGTCAGAAAGTTGATTCATCCTAAATAAACGTGGAAATTGTGCCCCTGCTCTCAAATCTCAATGAAGTACTACATGGTATCATTTTCCATTTTGCAAATGCCTCCAACAACATCGAGTCATCATTATTATTTATTTGGAGTTAATGTCAATATTGATTTTGTGGGGTTTTTTATATGTAGAAGAATGATAATAACAACTAGAAGAACCCTCGTGATGGCAATACTACCTAGCAATATCAACTTTTATCATTTTTTGTGTTTTTTTTTTACCAATTTACATTTGGATTGGTCTAAATTTTTATCAGAGATAATATAATAATTATCCTTAATCCATATATTCCAATTTAAGAGGACATGATAACAAAGAAAACAAAATTTCACTCTTAGCTTAGCATTGCCCCACACTATTGGATGATAAAAACCAGCAGATTTTAGCAATATATAGCTAGAGTCCACAGAAACAACAGCTAGCTAATATTATCTAAAACAAATGAAAGATTCAGTGTCTCCTGCTAGAACAATGCCAATTTTTTGATATAGAACTGAACAAAAAATGACACGAGAAATGACAGAACATTATTACTACATGAGGGAATCTGGTCTTTATTTCTAAGAGTTTGTTCAAGTTCCATCAGTACAAGTATAGACAAAAGAAGAGTAAAATACAAGAACAAAAGGAAATTCCTGTAACCTCATACAGACCTAATTTGATTTTTATCCCCTAAACCCTACAACTACAGCCCTTTTTTCCCCCTTTGATGATCTGTTAGACAAAGGACTTTGTATAGTTGTGTTTGTAATCAACACCTCTGTAAAGTTACAGATCATTAGTCTACATATGTTGAAAAGTCCTACTTTCTTTACAAGTAAATAGAAAGTGATGGAAAATGGAAATAACACCACCACCCATTTCAACAAACTCTAACCCTGCTACTTCAAAGATGTTTGATGCAACACTTAACATTAGCCTGTCTTCTAGGGTGTTAATTTTTCCCATTCGTAACGCCCTGGGAGTGGCATCTCTGTCACAGGATCAAAGTTGTACCTGGAATTCATAACCAACACCGGAAAAAAATACATAAATTAGTTAATGTGGGGCAATGCAAAAGCCACAAAACTAAGAAAACCAAACCAATAGAGCATACTTCTCCATGAACTTCTTTTGCTGAGCCGCTTCATTTTTAGCAAAGAATTCATCCATTTCCCGTGTAGATGGGATGACAGTTCTAGTTGCACGCTCCGTTCTGCGATGAGTGTCAGTTGAAAAAGTACGCTTGGTAGTCGAACTAGGAGTCCTGAGAACGTCCGGGTTCCTTATCAAATTGACAGGTGTAGTTTCCCGAGTGCTTCTGCTGCAAGTAAATAAATAGACAGCGATTTCAAAATTCATAAACTACAAACACTAACACAACAATATTTCAAGTGAGATTGCATATGAACAGAATTCATAACATTGAGTAATTAATTATTCAACACAATTCAATTGCAACCATTGATGACCATGGATCCAATAAAGCACATAAAAATGGAAAGATTTCAATAGCTGTATAAAACTATATAGTAAAAATAAAATAAAAATTGGAAAAAGTGATGAAATTCCTGCAGCTGTAAAAAAGTATCGGTACTTTCCTGCCAATAAAGTAACACTAATAATAAATAACAACATGGCAAAAAAAAAAAAAAAAAAATCAATGCAGGGAAATTTTTTTGAGATATACTTCAAAAGTAAGCTCAAGATAAGCAATAAACACACAGAAAACATGAATGCATGTGATGAAGATCACAAAAATTGAAGGGAAAAAAACAGAAAAAAGAACCAATATAAACTGGCAAAAGCCAGAAGGGAATAGAAGTTGTTTAAAGCAGATGCTGAAATCACTCAAAAAGGAACAAAAACAACAACAACAACAACAACAGAGAGAACCGTTAAGCTTGAAAACTAAACCAAAAAACTTCCCCAAATTCATTCATCTTTCGGACTAATATTCGGGAAAATAATAAGCGAAACAAATTTCACCATGAAGTTATGTAATTGCTAAGAGAAAGTTTCTCTCTTTTAACAGCATCATGAAATGAAATTAGAGAAAAATGGAAATATCCCACAATTAAATTCATGTTCTGCTTTGTTCCACAATCATGAACTTCAACAATAAACGAATTGTTAGAGAGGTAATAAAATTGATAAGGTAAAGAAGAAAAACCCTAATTTAAAATTTCAGCTAAAAAATCTCAAAAAATAAATAAAAAAAATTCGTTGTCAGCTTTATTTCTGTAAAAATAAATAAAAATAATCAGAGAGCGCGAAAGAGAACAATCCGAATTGAAATTCAAAAAAATTAGGAATTCGAGGAAAAAAAATGAAATTACGAAAAGAAAGAAGAAAAACGAATACTCACCTCTCTCTACCTTCAAAATCCAAAACATTTTCCCCAAAGTCAGGGTCTTCAGCTTCAGGAGTTTTCCCCTTGGTAGGAATTGGGGATTTAGGGTTTTGATTTTGGGGCTTATTCTTCTTAGTAGAATGTTGAGGAGTCGGAGGTTTCTGGAGGCGACGACTCCGAAGCTGAAGGTAGGAATCATTAGAAAGAGAGAGATCCTGATTCTGAGAAAGAGCTAGGGTTTTAGCACGAGTTCGAACACCGTAATAGGTGGTGGAGGTGGTGGTGGTGGTGATAGTGGTGGTGGTGGAATCAAGTAAAGGTAATTCCGATTTAGGTTTCGGTTTCTTCATGTACTTCCCCATCGAAGAGATTGAAAGGAGAAGAATAAAAAATAAAAAATAAAAACTCGTGAAGGAAGAAGAAAACAGGGGAATATTTATATAACAAGGTGGTGATGGATTTTGGAAGAGTGGTTTTTCCGGTTATAAGTGGTTTTGTTTGTTAGGAAGAGTGAGTAGTGAGAGAAAGGAAAGAAAGGTGGGAGTAAAAGGTAAAAGGGAATATTTTCAGATTTTATATTGTTGATTTCTTTTATTGTATTATGTAAAATAAGAAATTGTTTCTGGGTTTATTTTTTTTCCCTTGGAAATAAAAGTGATTTGTTCAATGGTTATTGAAGGAAGTACTATATTCAATGATTTTGCTTCTTTTTTTTTATAATGATTTTTGTAAAGCAGTTCTATTCAATGTTTTTTGATTTTTTTTCTATTTGAGAAAATGTTATTTTATTATTGTTATGATTATTTGATTTCTATGCGTGTTTTTTTTTATTTAAAATACCTTTTATAAAATATTTTTTATAAATTGATTATACATAATCAGAATAGACCGTTACGTCGACTATAATTTGAGAGTATGGTGAAAATACTGTAAGACACTCCGATATCAAAGTGAAATTCAAAATGAGTTAACAAGTAAGAGAGTGAGAAATTGTTCAATACCTGACTCTTTTGAAAGAGAGGATATTTATAGTCCTCGGCGCTGGGCCAAGGTCCTCATTGTTGGGGCACGTTGAGGCCCAATAAATGAAAACTGTCAGGACTTACGTGTGTATGAGTCTAGCAAATGGACTCCCTCCTAGTTAACTGCTCCGTGAAAATAAAGGTTATATCCGTGATTTTCGGAGGGCAGATAAGATGACTATGATGTGGGGACGTGACCCACGTTCTCTAACGGATGTGTGAGGAGTTGCCAAATACTCCCTAACTTGATCAACAAAAAAATAGTTTCAACAAAATAATAAAATATTTAAATTAAAATTTTAAAAATAAGTTTGGTTTGAATAAATTATTTCTCTTTTCAAAAAAAGTTTACAAATAACTATTTAAATTAAATTTTTATTAAAAAAAATTATCGTTTTTTTTAATAAAAATTATTTTAAAAAAACTAAAATAAATGATCCATAAATAAAAGTTGGCTTAATCATTTTCTTAAATGACTTTTTTTTTTTGATAAAACTTAAATGACATTTTCAATCACTGTGTAATTTATTCTTTGTGTAAATTTTATTTTTAACTTTTGATTTAATAATATCAATAATTTGTTTACATTTATATTTAATTATAAATAATTGTTAAGATAAGAGATTTAACATTATATGTTTTTTGAAATTTATATTCATTTAATTTAATTAAAACAAATCATTGTACTTTACACACTTAATTTGTGTAAAATTATTTTATCGTATCAAAAGAAAATTATTATTATTATTATTATTATTATTATTATTATTATTATTATTATTATTATTATTATTATTATTATTATTTATTATGATTATTATTATTAATTTTGATTTGTTAAAGCAAAATTCATAAATTTCTTTGTTATTATTCTTTAATAAATATTTTTTGTTTTAAAAAATTTCTATTTTTATTTTTGAAAATAAATTTAATATGTATGCAATGTGAATGTGTATATTGACACGCAATTTAATGCGTTAAAAACACTTGAATTAGCATATTTATTAACGCACTAACATATGAGTATATGATTGATGATGTATAAATTATATGATATTTTAATCATTTTGCATCAATTAAGAAAAGAAATACAATTAAATTTGAATAGAATAGAGAATTTATAATTTATTTTTCAATAGTTTGAAAATAAAAAGATAAAATTTAGAAACATAGAAGAAAAAGTAATAAATAACAAAGGATGTGATGAAGAGATAAATATTAATAGTTTACTAAAATTATAAAGTAAATTATAATTTAGGACAAAGTTATTTTGAAAAATGAGAATATTTTGTTATTTATATATTTTTTTTGTATTCATATCATCTAGAATAAGAAAATTGTTTGTGGGGTTGTTGGGGGATGTAAAAGGTAAATGAGAATACTTTGTTATTTATATTATTATTTTTTTATATTCATATTATCTAAAATAAATAATCTTTGTAGGTTTATTTTTTTCCTTGTAAATAAAAATGCTTTGTTCAATGTATATTTAACCGAGTATTATATTCAATCATTTTACCTTTTTTTTTAAATATTTTTTATAAAGCTAGTTCTATTCAATGTTTTTTGCTTTTTATTTTTATCCAAAAGAAATATTATTTTATTATTATAATTATTAATTATGTGCTTGTATTTTTATTTATAATTTTAAGTTAAATATGTTTTTCGTCCTTATAAATTACTAAATTTTGTTTTAGTTCCTATAAAAAAAACATGACATATTTTAGTCTCTGCAAAGTTATTATATGTGTTTTTTAGTCACTGTTGTTAAATTAATGTGTATTTTTAAATGGTCATATTACATACATGTTTAGAACGTTATAAAAATTTTCTCGAAATTTTTTTTAAAAATTTGATTTCTAAGTCGAGATTTTCATTACTTTTATCAATATCTTTTGAAATTTGAAAATTATATATTTGATTCATCTCATTTTAAAAAATTCTAAAATTTAATAAAAAAATATTTTATAATATTCTAAACACGTATAAAAAAATTATTAAAAAAATTTAAAAATTTAAGCATAATTAAATAATTTTAAAAATTTTAAAAAATAACGAGGACTAAAATTGCATGAATAAAAATTTTAGAGCAAAATATGTTATTTTTTAATAGGAATTAAAAATAAAATTTAAAATATTTATAGTGAACAAAAACATATTTAACCCTAAAATCTTTTTATAATATTGTAATTGTTATATATAAATAAAAATTGGCTTAATTTTTTTCTCAAATGACATTTATAATTAGGTGTGATTTATTCTCTGTGTAATTTATTTTAGTTATTAATTTATAAATATTAATAACTTTTTACTTTAATATTTAAATATAAATAAATATTACACTTCAAAATTAAACTTTAAATCATTATTTACATTCGATTAACTTAACTATCCATATTAATTTAGCTACTCTACTCATCCAATTGGTGTAAAATATTTTAGACTAAAATGTATCAAAAGTAAATAATAATAATAATAATAATAATAATAATAATAATAATAATAATAATAATAATAATAATAATAATAATAATAATATTGAGTTCATAAATTATAAAATATTGAGTTCGACTATCATCACTCATTAATAAATCGTATTTTTTGTTTTAAATTTTTAAACTTTTATGTTTATATATTTTTTAAATAAATTTAATATGTATCTAATGTGTTAAAAAAATACATGAATGATTTTTTTTATTGTTCCTATCAAAAATCAAATTTGATATTTCTTGAATCTTTTTAACAAGAGTTTATTTATCACTCGAGTCAAAATAATATTTTAAAATTCGGATCGATCATCGACCCAGTTAAATTATTGGGTCACTGGGTTAATGATCGGATCAATAAATCACCGGTCAGATTGTATGAATTCTAATAATATTAAAATATAGTTTTATTTTTATTTTGTAGCATAATTTTTTATTATTTTTGTTAGTTTAAAATATTATTATATTATATAATTAATTTTTTAACATTTTAAATTTATTATATTATTATTTGGCTTAAATGCAGTTTTGACCCCCCTAGTTTAAGGTTTTTGGAGTTTCGATCCCCCTAATTTAAAAGTCAGGTTTCTAGTCCCCAAAGTTTTCAAATTTGGGATTTTTAAACTAGGGGGATCGAAACTCCAAAAACCTTAAACTAGGGGGGTCAAAACTGCATTTAAACCTTATTATTTTATATGATTAATAATAAATAAATTTAATAAAAATGATAATATAATAATTATAGAATATATAACTTTTTTTCTCTTTAATTAAATTAAACATCAAAGAATTTTATAGTGCAGTTGGTAAAACTACCATTCAAATAATTTTGAAAAATTAAAAGTCAGATTTTTAAAATTTGACAAAATTTCATTTTAATAATTTTAATATTATTTAATTATTATAAATAATTAATCTAATTATAAATATTAGTACAATTGGATTATAAAACAAAGGCATCAAAATTTAAAAAACTGAAAATAGGAGATCAAAATTATAAATAAGTTAAAAATAAGCATAAAAAAAATTAATTTATCGGATAAAAAATTTACTGATTCACTGGTTTAACCAATGAACCGATCAAATTATACTAATTTTTATTAGATCAATTGTAATAATAGGTCTAACCAATTCGACCGACTGAAATAATGTGAATCATCTTAGTCTTAAAATTATGAGTCAAAGTGCTTGATTTTCATATTTATTAATGCAGTAGCATGTGATTTTTTTTATTACAAGTTAGTAACATATGATTGGATAGATGTGTAAAATTATATGATGTTTTAACCATTTTATATTGATTAAGAAACATAAGTTATAACATTATTTTTCATTTTTTTTTAAATAAACAAAATTTAAAGAATTAGAATAAAAAATAATAAATAGCAAATGATCCAATGAAAAAACAAACATTAATAATTTACTATAATTATAAAGTAAAGTATAATTTTTTAAAGTGATGTACAATTTTGCAAGAAGATAGTACATTTTTAAATATTGTATTGAATAAATAGCAGTGGTGGAATTGTTTGAAAGAGTAGAAGTTAGTGAAGTCGGATGTGTAAAAGGTAATTATATATTTGTTATATTTTTATTAGAAAATAGTAAAAATTACGTTTAAGAAATTGTATTCAAGTCTTTTTTAAAATAAAATAATATGTTATAGAATTACTATGATAAATTGAAATTTATTTTTTAAATTTATTAAATAATAGATAAAATTTATTTATATATGAAACAAATAAATGATTTATCTTTTAGGTTGGAATTTTGGGAGACTTTGCTCTTTTGTGGGATTTAGTTAGATTCTAGTATTATAGAGATGTTAACATTTCATTTGAATTGTTCTGAGGT